TGTACACTCTTCATGTAATTACAAACTGTAGGGATTGCCTATGTGTAATCTCGTACATCAAACTAATAAAAATCACCTGGCAATGTAAGCCACCTTAAAAAAAAAAAAAAAAAAAATAGGAAAATCAAAATTTTATTGATTCAAATAATTCAAATGATTATGTTCCTTCCAAAAAACGTCATATTCGAGTTATTCAAGAAGCTTCAAATAATCCAACTTCTCAGCATAACATTTATTGGCAAGTTGTAAATAAAAATCTTGAAGACTATCATTCCAAAATGAAATGCCAGATGCACACAAAATACAATATTCATAAACGTGTTTATGAAGTTGGTGATCTAGTAAAAATTCAAGTTGCCAAAATTGACTATAGCCCTGGTGATCGTTGTACACTCCCTTGCAAAGTGTTTGCAGTGCTTCTCAGAAATATGTATCACCTTGTATGTCGATTTGGCATTCTTGACCAAGCATTTTCAGCTGGTGTAGTTTTACCACTTGGACCAAAAGAATATCCGGAGTTGAATAATCCTCCAACCAACGTGACTGTTAGTATGATTGAGGCGGCAAGATTGCAATCTAATACTCTTGCTAGTAACAAAGTATGCAATTGTAGAGGTGACTGTCTTACAGCAAGATGTATTTGCAAAAAAGCAAATATTGTATGTGGAAGTGGATGTCATCCGAAGAATTCAAAGTGTAAGCACTGAGTTTAAAGCTGGAAATAGAAAATAAGTTTTATTTTTTATTTTAAGTTATGTATTTTGCAGCATTGCATAATATTGTCTGGGCAGCTAATTTAGTTAACAATAGAAATTTGATTTTAAGCGTATTATTTTAATAAATGATGTTCTTTCCATTTACATAAGCTATGTTTTTAATTCAGTAATTAATTACGTTGTTCAAAGATCATATAATACATTTTTAACAAAGGTAGCTTTACTAAAAAAAAAAATAGAACAACTAAATGTGCTTGGGTCGATGCAATATTTGTATGCCGATATATAATTGATATGTACGTACCGAATTCTCGATTTGAGTAACCCACATAAGAATTCTAAATTGGGTTATCCCGATTCTGAATTGGGATAGCTGGATTCCGGATTGGGCAGATTCCAATTCGGGGTACAACATATAAATTATTTATTAAATAAAAAAAAAAACTAAGATCTCTAGTATAGTATATATGATAGTATAGTCTAATTGCAGTAGTTTAAACTAAGAATATTAATATATCAGATATAACAATATATTTTTAATAAAATATAATAGTTAAAAAATAGAATAGAATGACTTTAGTATTGAAAAAGTTTTGCTTTTATTAATAATAAATTTATTTTGTATTTATTTCACATATCAAAAGATTTTTTAATTCATTTAATTAGTCAATAATTATGCTTAAATCTACATAAATTAGCTAATCATATGAATATTATAACTCATGATTTTTTATGAAAATACAAGTTTTCTTCTATACTAGTTGTCTTAAATAAAATTTAACTTTTTAGGTTCAAAACCTATAAGTTCATAACTTAAAATTAAAGAACTTTAATAAGTTCTAACTATCTAAGATCTAATAATTTGAAATTAAAGTAAAAGTCTTATATTTTTAATGTTCTATTAAAAACATTGTTATAAACCTATATTATATTGCCTTATAATATTTAAGTAATAAACTACATAATTAAGAATTACTATTATCAAGTTTACAAGCTAATTAGAAATCTAGACCTGATCATATGTTATATAACTCAGAAGTATCACTACAAGTAAAGAAAAACTAGAGTCAAAAAAAACTAAACAAAGAACTAAAGAATACATATCTCAAAGTACTAGAGTAATCTCTAAGACTTGAACTAGATCTTTTATGCTTTAATTGATGTCTACTATTTAGAATTTATTGTTATTAAGTAGAGATGTTAAAAAGTCTGTCTGGTCTGATTCTATTGTAGTTCTTAAAAAATCTGGTTTTTAGCTAGTTAGGACTACTAGTTCTATCTAATTATATCAAATTTAATATAAAATATAGTTAACTTATAATAATCTAAAGTCTTTAAATTTTTATATTGCATATTTATCATATTAAAAATAATTCAAATGATCAAAAATTCAAATAACTATGTATTAGACTTTATATAATATAGTCATCTGAATTTTTGATCATTTGAAGTTTTATATAAATTTGTACAAAATATTAGATGATTAAAAATTCAAATAACAATATATTAGACTTTATATAACATGGTTATCTAAATTTTTAATCATCTGAAGTTTTATATAAATTTGTACAAAATATCAGATGATTAAAAATTCATATAATGTATATTAAACTATGATATAATATATAGTAATCTGAATTTTTTTTTTTTTTTTTTTTTTTTTTTTATTGTTTAAGGCGGCTTACATTGCCGATGGGATTTTATTAGTATTTGCATACAGAATTATACATTGATAATCTCTACTGTTTGTAATTACATGAAGAGTGTACAACAAGCTATACGTACAACTTTAGTCATTGTCTAATTTAAGTAGTCCGCCGTACAGGCGATTAGACCACCCGATTGGTTCTACACTATGCTGTCATACCTGTAACCCGCTTTTGAGTTACCTATTTAAACACTCTGTTCATTAACCTATATAGATCCAAACCTAACGTCACCACAACACCTAACCGTTTAAGCCAGCTAGCTCATTACGAATCCATTTACTCAAATCAGCTTAGGTCCTCTCGAGATACACTATACCAGACACATTGCTAGTATTGCAGAGCCGGTTAACCTCGAAGCAAACCCACTAGAGCGGCTTGTACTCATTTTATGGGATCACCTAGATTAGACCCTTGTAGATGTTCATATGACCCCAGTTCCTACTGTGGCTCTCTACCAGTTTTCTGTATTCTATTTTCTTGAATGTTTCACGAAGCAGATCCTCCCAATTCAGTTAGCCGCCAAGCCAGGTTGGTATTACCGATTCTCACTGTAGAATGAATTTATGCGCACCCAACTCGAACTGCATCTTTTGATCATAGTTTCCTTTCTGGATCAAGCGTTGACTGGTGTGACTGTTGAAAGCTGTACTACTTCACCTACTCGGGATTTCTACCATGCAGATCCCCTGCTCATAGATCCTATCAAGATTTATTCATGTAACGTTACGTCTTGCCAAACGCCCCGTTATATTTCCAATATCCAGATGATATTGGTGCAATGTAATTTACAGAGTTACAACTCCAGAAACGAACAGAGTTTACCGTAAGTTAGATACAAAGGTACAGGTAATTATTCAAATTCGTCGACAGTAGGATTTGAATCTCAGACCTCTTGCATAGTGGTCTGGCAACCTAACCACTACACTAAGATCACCAGACTTTAAACAATCTAGATATTATGAAGTTAAAAACAGAATATTATATAAGAAAAACTGAAGGAACTCAGATAAATTAATCTGAGTAATTAGATAGACAGAAGTAGAAC